CTCCATCTCATCTCGTTCTTTGATCAAAGCGCCATTTTGTAGCGTACAAGCATTAAAATCTATAATAGTCACTTTCTTCTATGCTAAATTTCATGCAGTTTTGGAAACACTGGAAAAACTTTTTCCTTCATACAGCTTCCTGCCTATAACAATTTATTCACAATCAACTTATTACGCCACTCCAGTGTAAATCTACGTTTGTTGTGTACAACTTAGCTCGGCAGTTTTCAGGCAAACATTTTCCGTGTCCCCAGTCAGGAACAGCAACACAAATTTGCAGTTCCAACATTCGGCTTCAAATAACGTAACGTACACGTTACAAAGCGGAGTGATTATATCTCGACACTCTTAAATCGCCGATGCACACCACGCCATAAAGACTTACAAAGGTCGTACAGGTAAACAGTTTGAACCTTCTCGGATTCAATACTAGATAGAGACAGGTGGTTAGGTTCATAATCTGGCCGCCTTTATCTCCGGTAAAAACAGCCTTCGAAATCAAATGAAGAGGCTAGCGAGATAAACTCCCTATGCGAACGAAATTATTGGGGATCATCAGTGTGGATTCAGGCGTAACAGATCAACGATTGATCAGACCTTTTGCATTCGTCAGATACTAGAGAAAAAATGGGAGATTTCAAAAAAGTCTATGACTCTGTTTTGAGAGAAGTGTTATGCAATATTCTCATTGAATTTCGTATACCAAAGAAGATGGTGAGTCTAATAAAAATGTGCTTAAATGAAACCTGTAGCAAAATTCGTATAGGTAAATATTTATCTGAGTCATTTTCCATCATGAACGGTCTGAAACGAGGAGATGCTTTGTCTCCATTGCTCTTTAACTTTGCGCTAGAATACGCCATCAGGAGCACATCAGCTATTGGCATATGCTGACGTGTCAATTTATTGGGTGACAACATAAATACAACAAAGAGGAACACAGAAGTTTTACAAGAGGCTAGTAGACAGGTGAGGCTAGAAGTAAATTCTGAAATAACTAAGTACATGTTAGTATCTCGTCGCCAGCAGACAGGCGGGCAGAATTATCTTAGGGTGGCTAATAAATCCTTTGAAAGTGTGACAAAATTAAAATATTTAGGAACAACAATAACAAATCAAAATGACACTCATGAGGAAGTTAGGAGGAGGCTAAATTCCGAAAATGTTTGCTACTTCTCAGTTCAAAATATTTTGTCTTCCCGTCTGATTTCTAAGAACCTGAAAGTTAAAGTGTACAAAACAATAATTTTGCCTGTTGTTTTGTATGGGTGCGAAACATGGTCCTTCACTCAGAGGGAGGAACACAGATTGCAGGTGTTTGAAAATAGGGTGTTGAGGAGGATATTTGGGCCTAAGAGGGTAGACGATGGGGTCTGGAGAAAACTATATAATGACCAACTTAAAAATTTGTACTCCTCCCCCAGTATTGTCAGGGTGATTAAGTCAAGAAGAATGAGATGGGCGGGGCATGTAGCGCGCATGGATGGGGCAAGAAGAGTACACCGGGTATTGGTTGGGAAGCCTGAGGGGAAGAGACTGCTGGGGAGACCTAGACGTAGATGGGAGGATAATCTCAGACGGGATCTTTGGGAGGTAGGAATTGAAGGAGACTGGATTTTGTTGGCCAGGACAGGGTCCGGTGGAGGGCTTTGGTTAATTCGGTGATGAACCTTCGGGTTCGGTAAGCCATCTAGTTAGTTCAAAGGAGTTAGGTCAAGTAACATCGGCGGCTAAGCAATCGCACCCTGTGCGGCCAATCCAACGGTTTTGAAAACGCTGACTGAGAAATAAAGTCACCTGTTTACCCAGCTAAGTGGGCTCGCCATTTCTGCAAACACAGGTCTCGCCTGGTGTGACGAGGCTCACCTTAACACACTAGCAGTTTATTTTCCAGGAAACGGAGGAAGGGCTTGGATGCCAAGCGCTCTTCAAGTACAAACGGCTCGATTAATTGGTTTCTAATAATAGCACACCACAAGGTCACCAGAAAACAGCTCTGATTATGTTTCCGTGGATGAGTGAGGATTATCGAGAGATCAGATGCGTCAATTCCATGTTTTTTTGATTCCGTCTCCATTGAACGCAGCATCGTCAGTGAATACAATCTTCGTGAGGAGCAGCTGGTTTTCAAAAGCCAGAGGAAAAACACTACACGTGCAAGGTAATCTGTTGGTTGTAGGGCCTGTACAGTTTACACATGAAAGAGGTGCAGACCATACTTCGTGAAGACTTCTCCACACTTACGTCTAACTCGATTGAATATCCTTCGAAAACTAGTATTTGGACTGTGCTTAACAGTTTCGAGTATGCTGTCCTCCATCGCAGCAGTCTTTCACGTCTCCATTAGGGAAATTTACCACTTTCTCCAATATTCTGATGCACCAAGGTGGACAGCTACCATACTACATGGCGCAACAACCCCGAAGACAGCAATATTCAGACTCGCTGCTGTGAAACCCTCAGATTCTACAAAACAGCTGTAAATTTGACATGAATACTCTACCCCAAGTAAACACAAATTTTAATTTCCAATTTAAGGGTAAAACATGCACTGGCAGTCTTTTAAACATTTTAATTAACTCTATTAGATGTGAGAGTTGCAACTCATGAAACAGTATCTGTGTTTACCCGTGCGACTGAGAAAAATATGTCACAGAAAAACTGACTTCTGTCAGAACAAACATAATTTCGGTTGAAGTTGCAATGAAAGCATAATACAAATTACAACACAGAATGAGCCAAATCATTTGAAGTAATTTCATAAACAGCTTCATAATGTGTATGCTATGTATTCAGGACATACATACTTCAAGTTCCTACTGGGCAAAGAACATCATTAGATTTGAGGTTTTTCTTCATCCCTTCAGGCAACATTTATTTTCATTTCTCCATTAAAACAATAAATGTGTTCCTGAAAAATGTTGTATAAATGAAAAATATGTAAACCAATAGCTAAATTTCCACAGGAGGCTTATACTCCCAGTTCACAAACAACTTTTTGAAACCAAAAGTGTATAAATAAATGTATGAGCTTAATGAAATAGTACTTTTAAATAGGTTATACCACTTCCATTCCTTCCAGAGTTATAAATTGTACCATCCCACCCTAGAGGGTTAACAAACAATTTAAAAATATATATTTGAAAGAGGAAAAGTACAAAAAGGATTTAAAAATAAACCAAACATAATGTGCCATGATTAAACACAATGCAGGAGCATGTAACTTGGCCAAAATTGCAGGTTGTCGATTAATATGACTTCAGTCACCGAGTAATTCAAATTAAAAATACAGTAAACTTAACATAATCAACAAGCAATAGAAAGTTTGTAGCATAACTTATGTGACCACTTTTCTACACCAGTAAAGATACAGTTGTTAAAAATTATTAAGAGTACCACAACTTGTTATTTCACCCAAATTAAACATAGCTCAAGCAGTCACAAAACAAGATTCTTACTAGTGATAGGATATGGGGCAGGTATTTTCCATAAGTGCTTCGGTCTTGCCCTGCCAATCTTCAACCCATTGACAATCTCTACTGATACATCATACCCAAAGGTCCAACAACCATCAATCACATCACAACTTCAGTCTTAACTTCATGAGTCTCCTCTCACATGGCATTTAGCTGGACTTTGTGAAGGCATAAAAGTTCATATTGCTTTTAGGATTAAAAAAATACAGGTGTCAAATACAACCAGCATCTATTTCACTTATTTGATTTTATGGTGCTTACAAAACAGTACTGTCAGATCACAAAAATAAAGTTTGGGTGGGCCTCAAAACCATTCCAGATGCAGAGGCTAGAGGAAAAATCCTCTGCCCTTGTCGGGGATCGAACCCCGTCATCCAGTCCATAGCCAATCACTATACTAACTGAGCTCATAAAAGATAAGTAATTTGACTACTTCAAGACACTGTGCAAAAAACATACACCTAATGCTTAATACTGTATTTATTATAATTATTAACAATATATTGGCCTTATTTGGCTGTTGTCAAGCACTTAAATAAATGAATTGAATATAAACTACAAATTCAGTATAAATCATCACATACCCCTGGATGAACAAAATTTTACAGGAAATTAATTACACTGAAGTCCAGAATATGGCCACCACTACCACCAAGCTGCTACAATCACTGCTTCTGGTATTTATGTTCAGTACTATTATCTACGCTGGCACCACCGCACACGTTCTATAATATTTTATTGTTCACTAATAACTGGGTTACAGCACAGTTATATTTAGCCAGGGTAGGTTGGTATAAGTTTAATTTTTTTAACTAATAACTGCATTACGAAAGGTTAGATTAGGTAAGGGCAGGCTAGTATATTTATTTTCACGAAGTGCTAAATACTCAGTTCAGGTACTGTGGCTCAACTATGCCTTGTCACCTCTAAAAACTGTATCACTGAACCACTCTAAGAAATTCCACCATGACAAACCACGTTCAACACAATTCAGTAAGTCATGTCTCAGCCACCTAACCATATTTATTATCCACAAAATGTATCAGTTGTCAACAACAAATTGAAATAGGGGCATATGACAACCAACAGGTTCATTCCAATCATAATATTACGTCCAACTCTGTGCTAAAAAAATCGTAACTATTTACTAAACAAGGCTGCAACAAATCTGACAGTTTACTAAACACACTTAACTACATTTAAGTTAGGTTCATTTACTTTCATATACCCTTCAGATACAACTGTTTCAACAAAAGTTTCATCGAAACATATTCTAACAACTTCCACGAAAACAATCTGAAATATGCATTTAAAAAATATTGGCAATGATTCCAAATTTATAACACAGTCGCTTTTGTATAGGAACACTGATCCTGCAAAACTTACTAGAAACTATATATTTTCTAATGCTTAAAAGTGTGTCATTCTCCCATCAAAAGTCCCCTAAAACTAGCAATAATGGTTGAAAAACCATGGAACGAAAATAATCTTATCATGGGTGCGGCTACAATTTCGGTTTCTTACCTTGTCCGTTGGTATGTTTCTAGAACTCATGGTTATCACTGACACGATATTTACACAATAAGCGTACAAGTGGATGGCGAATTAACCAGGAAGATTTTTCTTTTTGGAACACCAAGCAGATGGTGATAGCAGACAACTGAGCAACATTCAACACTGTACACAAAAACTTAATGTTACGCCATTACGACGTACAGTTGAGCGATACATCGCAAATTGGAATTTATCATGTTATCTATCCATACTGTTCACGTGAAAAAACGTAGCATTTTTCATGAAGACAAGAGAACTTTCACTTAAACCTTTAAACACAAAACACAACCACTGACAACCAAAAGGCAAAATGGCGAGACTTTCTGTATCGTATTGTTCCCGTGTTGCATCCCGGGTAATATAACCGTGCCTTCTAAACTCACGTTCCTAATTTTTCAAACGTGAATGCCCAATGTGAAAAATATGCAGAGGAACGTTCATAAAATTCTCATTTTATAGTAATGGCCTATGAACACTTCCAAGCTTGATAGTGATATTTCAGATGTTCTCTCAATTACTAACCTGCATGTTTCTAAGTCACTTAGTACCTTCTTTTTGTATGAAATGCAAACGTTATGTCTTTTCTACAGAGTGGTATTTACTTGTCAGTACTTCAGAATATTTCAACCCGTGTCCTTGGTTATCTGTGACACAACTAAATATTCTGGTTACATTGATATCCCATGAACATACAAAGCCTGTGGATAATTTCCACTTCTCCTTCCATTTACCACCTCTTCGATGACAATCAGCTTTTCTTTGCAGAAGTTTGAACAGACTCCAATTGAATTTGACATCAATCTTTCTCATCCTCATAACTATTCTGATGTCATGGTTCTTCCCCTCTCAACATTATTGTGGAACCCATCCACAAAATTCTCATACATTATGATCAAACAGAACACAAATTAATTAAAACAGAGACAGAATGTACAGTTTTTTCCTTGATACTTTCACTCCAATGCAGAATTAGCTTATTTGTACTAGCATAAAGCATACAACATATTACAGAAAACCTTTTGTTACTAATTACATCTGAGAAAATGAACTAAAATCAGCTGAAATGTGTGAAAGTGAATGAAACATTACACATGTTATAGAAAAAACTTTTCCAGTGTTAACCAGAGCAGTAAACAATTATGATTATTATTATGATGATGATAACAACAACATTTTGGGTCAAGCTCCCTCCAATATGGCATACACACAAGATCAGCCTTCAACAGTGACATGAAATACTTTGTTTATTATGACATGCCAACCTTCTATATAAATACAACTTTACACAGCATATTATTACAAATTTCTTCTTGACAATCATTTCTTAGTGTTTGGTGTATCACTTACACCATACTGTTTAAGCCCAAGAGAACTAAGAAGAGCTCTGGGTGATGGATCACGTCCTCTAAATCTTCTGAACACTTCTCCAGGATGACAGCTGCCTCCAAGAGCAAGAAATGTGGAACGGAACCTGACAACAAGGACTGGATTTTGGTTCTGCATCTTTACAGATGATTTTAAATATATCTACTACTATATCAATTAATTAATGATTGTATAATATTAGAATAAGTGGCAAGTGTTAATGCTGCTGTTAAGTGGATTTAAAACACAGTGATTATTCTGTGATTTTAAATTAATTTCCTAAGAGAGGTTCAGATGTGTCACATGTTTTTAATAAGAATCTGTAATTTCTCCTAACCTCTCAGCATAGAAATGGGACTGCGGCTGAAAGACTTCATATTATCTATGAAATTTCATCCACCAAGGGCTTCCTATTGTGTAAATGGAACAAAATTCACATAAGATAAAGAAATTCTATTGGAAACATGTTGGTATTTCAAGGTTACACTGTAGTTGCACTCACCTTCTGCCAACAGCAGAACGATCCTCTGTACTATGAAGCTCAGCCTCAAGGAATGTGCTGAACACATCTGCAGCAATAACACGTCCCCACAAGTGGCAATAGTATGCTGCACCCCATTCTTCACAGAAAATTGCTGCGAAAGAGCATGGATGCGAATCCTTGCTATCCAGAGGGAAAGCCAAGTACTGAGGCCAGAGTTTCTTCACCAAGTCCCACCAGAAATCTTTTCTACAAACACAAATAATTCACAAATGACAGCCACATGCAGTCTGGTAGAAGTTAAACAACATTTCAAAGGTACTTGCTGCCTCCATCATCAGGGCATCATCACCCTCATGGGATATATTATAGACAGAACATCATGATTACTATCAGCTACGGTGTATCATAAAGAATGCCTATGCCTTGAATTCTTCAATCTCATTTACTTGTACTTACGAAGTATGGAGCTCAAGGTCCAAAGATGCCAAGTAGAGCTCCCTGCAGAGCTCATAGCCTGCCATGTGTTTCTGGCCAAGACAAAGCTGCTGCATCATGGAGGATGGCAAGGGATCCCCAGTTTCAACATGGCCACTGATAAGATCAATTGTATTCTGGTTGTACAACCTGTAAAGAAGAAACATTTAATTTATGAGTACAGGAAACATGCAGGAACACAAACACAAGTTACAGGTATTTATGTACAACTAACCTGGTCTGGACATATTCTGTACGTATTTCCTATTAAATTTACAGAATTAAAAATAGAATGCCTGTTGTGGATCTTACAGGATGTATGTAAGCTGGAAAGTTTTATTTTAAAATAATTTATAATACATTTTGAAATATGCTACAATGTACATACTGTTTCACTTACCAATGAACCATAAAATTACTGCAGACTTCTATTGCATCCCACTCAACATTGGACAAGCCTGACACTTCCAAATAGGAGGTTCTTGTTAAAAGATGCTGCAAAGCATGGCCAAACTGAAGGCAAACACAATAATTATATTTGTCACTATCCTTTTGTAGAAGATACGAGAGAGAAAAATACATTCTTCCCTATTTTGCAAACCTCATTACTTGTTATGTTCATTTACTATAGATAAAAGTATTATTGTCAAGTCAATAACACTACATGAAGTCAGAAAATATTTTCCCTTGTATTTAATTAAATATTCATTCCATAAAAAAGTTTCAATTTAAAGTTGCAGACCTTAATGAGATTTATATTTTATGCTATGTACCAATTTTTGGTGCAATAAACCATTTTTGTGAACATCAATAAAGTCTGATTTGAGATTCAAGCAACTAACACCATGAAGCACTACTCGTCTTGAGAAACTGACAGCTCCTCAGTGGGTCAATATCCAGTCAGGAAAGCTAGCAATGGCTGGGGGTTCGTCGTGCTTACCACACGTTACCCTGTATCTGGTTGGATGATCGTTCACCTCTGCTTAGGCATGTGAACGTGAGGCCAGCAGTCAAGCTAGTTGGCTTTGGCTCTCTGGAGCTGCTATGCCACAGATTTATTTATTATTTATTTATTTACATGTTACGTCCGCTCTCTCAGGGCTAAATGTTGTCCTCTTATAGTGGCTTCCAGTTCACAGCAAATATTTTATCTTATTCATTGGAATGATTCAAAAGTTGCAATAGACAGACAGACTGATACTAGTTTCTTACAAGGGGCATGAGGTTAACACACCTTCTTAAATAACAGGTGAAGATCTGAGATGGAGAGTAATGCAGGCTGTCCTTCTTGAGGTTGTGGCAGGTTGAAGATGAGAGATGCCAGTGGAGTAGTATTGACTGCAGAACTGCGGCCACGTAACGCAATCACCCAACCTGCATCTTGGTATGTCCACAGCTTATCATTTCTGTAATAGTGGTGTGAGACTGATGATTTAAAATTGTCTTCTATAATATTAAATAAATAAACAAATAAATTTAGAAATAAAAGATATCCCAGAAACTGAAAGTAAGAAAGAAAAGAAGCTAATATAATTTATAGTAGCCATCAGTAATAAGATACAGACCAGAGTATTAAAGAAGAGACAGATTTCTGCCCAGATTCATAATAGAAAAATATATATCAATCAAGGTTTATTATAAATTTATATCAGGTGATAATGTAGTCAGGGCTCTACATATATTTTTATTCACTCCAGTGAGTAATTTAAAAAAATCTGCAGCTAATATAAACATACCTACATACTGTGATTCTATAAACAAACAAATTTTGCCAAATAAATACCAGACTCATGTTATATAAAATCATGCATACAAACAAAACTGTTTACACACTTTGTGTTATTTAATGTGTAAACAGTTTTGTTTGTATGCATGATTTTATATATCAGTACACTGCACGGTATGCAAGGTTTTAAGTGGAGTCATGTTGTATTTCTGAAGCCTTAATTGTGGTTCTTAAGAACAGAGATTTCTTCAACTTACCTTGCATAGGGATCAAAGTAGAATCCTGCAACAGGTTCGGTGCTGTCTGGCTCCAAAATGTCAAAGTACTGGACATCAGGGTGCCATGTGCTCACCCCTTTTCGCTCCTGAATGTGCACACCAAACAGCTGCTCACACAAGGTAAATAGGCCAGCCAGAACTTTGGGTAGTGGGAAGTATTCTCTTAGCTGTTTCTCACTGTAACTTATTTAACAAACGTGAGGATACAGATAAAAGCAACTGAAAGCAAACTATACAAAAGAGTATACATATGTATATTTTAAGGATTCCATTGGAAAACAGGTGTTATATTTCAGTTAATAACAATTCTGAAATTCTTTCTTTTGATGATTTCTTATTCTATATTTAATATTATCATCTGTACATTACAATTGACATGCACTACAGCTGGCAGTGTGTTGTAGTACCATATTACTAAACCATTCAACTTGAAGTTAAATTCTGCCCGGCAGTCCTGCAGTACAGAGTCCCCTAGTTACATACGATAAAAGTTAGGTATTAACACAGTGGGACAGTGAAAGTGAACCCTGCAATACAGGTCTGCTAAACTGCATATAAGATGTAACACACAGTTCAAAAAGGTTAATGTTCTATACACTCAAGTGTTACTGTGTGTATATAGAAATGTAAAAATGCATACCTCCTTTTCAAGTAGGGATATACAGTTCAAATCAGTATGAAACAATTAAATGCAATAAAATCATCAACACTGATTATTTGTGTCACTGCAGAGCAAAACTAAACACTTCAGACACTATCTCCGCTTCCATCATCACAGATGGATGATGACGAAGACATATCATCTAAAAAATCATTGGAATTTACTGTATAATGACTGCTTGACTGCTAAGGGGATTTCATTTCTCCTGTTCAATGAACACATATCTGAACAAAACTGCCTTACCCAAACAGTGATGTGTACTGCTTCCTCTTCCAATATGGAACATCCCAGAGTTGCATTGCACCATCAAAACCCCGTGAAATAGCAAACTCCTGTAGTTCAAGTATCTCACGATCCTGGGATGGACGTGCTAAAACAACAATATAACAATTATTATTGTGGAAATTGTGTGAGAATTAAATAAGGATTATTTTGACATACTCCACCCTTTCTCAATTAATTAACAATATTTACTAGTAGTAGTTCCTCTCTTATCTTTGTCACCAGTTTTTAATCAAGAAAGGACATTTTTCATAAAATGGAAAAGTAGTGATGTTAGTCCTAAGTTCCATACACATTTACAAACAGGAGC